GCCAGGCAGCGCTTAAAGCGAAGCCCGAGCGGTTCCAGGTAAGCGGCCCTGTGCTTTTCCTGGGCGGTTGATGTTTTCCCTGGAGAGGACCCTTGGGTGGGCAAACGGCTTGGGTTTCCCACTGGCGAGTTCCCCGTCCGTCTACCACGATGCCTAGAAAAAATCATTGTTTCTCCACAACGTGCTTAAAAGACTTGGTAACGGAGCGGGACGCTACAACGCACAAGTGCGTGATGCTCAGCGGGGGAAACGTCCTTTCGGTACTGACGCTTGCTGTCTTTAGCTCAGAAAAGTCCCTAAGCAACGAACGGGCGAGCGTGCGTTTTGGGAATTACCGGAGCGTAACATTATCCATAAATATTTTCCTATAAAACCAGGCACTTCTAACAGAATCTCTTTTTCCAGGGCTACAAGCCAGCCCTCGGCCAGCCCCAAGCTCCTGAGAACTGTTCAACGTCCCTCCTGGGTGGAGACTGCTTGATAACGGAGGCTCTGAAAACAGTCGTTCCAGTGAATTTGCAGGTAAATGCACGCACGGCGCCTTCCCCGCGCTGACCTTTTGCGCGAATAACACCGCCGAGACGCCACGGCTGCGTTCGGGTCGGAGCAGGCCAGGTGTTATCACCCGCCTGGCTTCTGCTGTACTATTTTTTGGACGGTTTGTGATGTCTCTGGATGATTATGTGCATGGGTATGCATGGCGCTGACGTAGCGTCTCTCTCTCTCTCTCTCTCTCTCTCTCTGTCCTTTGGGAGCCCGGGAAAGGTCTGCTTGCTCTCCCCCACCACCGTTTAGCTAAAAAAATCAGGAACAACTGCCATTACTAGGTGACAAATGAAGGTTATGGCTAGCAAGAGGGAGCAAAAAGGGATGTTTCCAGATAACTGCTCCGGGGCTGGTTGGGTCAAGGGACACAAAGCTCAAAGAAGTCACCAGCTCTTAAACCTCATGTGGCTTTTCCACGTCTTTGCCGGCTCCAGATTTCTGAAGTGCTTGAGACAGGCTAAGGACGTGCCCTTTCAAATCGTCGCCGTTTGACGCGCTGGAGATTCAAGCCTCTAGAAGTTCAGCCTGCACACGGACCTGTTCACGCACCTGCGTGGTTTTTCATGTCGCGTTTTAGTGGAATCTAAATTGAAACTGAAAACATAAGGATTTGTTAAGTTCAGACTTTGGGAGGCATTAAAATTCGAACATTTAAGAGCAGCGATCCGATGGAAAAAAATAAACTTACCAGGGTCCAATTTTTAACCGTGTTTAACATGTCAATATTAAGCTTCTGGGTTTCCTCAAAGTCTGCATACTATATCCCCAAGTACAAGTTACTCATTAACTGATTAAGCTAAACTGAGCTTTCATTTCAAGATCGGGTCTTTCCGAAATGGAGAGAACGTTGCTCGCGTTGATGGTGGTCTCCTCGCTCGTAGGGTTAGCAACCGCTATTGATCCAAAGGTATTTCCTCTCCTTTTTTACCGACCTCTTTCCTGCTCATCTGCTCGTCCTTCGCCAGGCTGTAAGCGGTGATGTGGCGGCAGAGCTGTTCTCGCTAGCCGGGCAGGTAACGCGGGTAACGCCGGCGGCACCTGGGTCGCGCTGTGCCGCGATTTGGGCGCCCCGGGTCCCTCCTGTTCAGGGCTCGGAGGGCAGAGCGGGCGCTGCCCCAGCGTGAACGCGGCCGGCAGGGATTTGCCGCTTCGGCGCGGTGTAAAAGATCGACTCGAGTGGCCGTAGGTCTCCCTTGAGCGCTTTGGAGCTGGACGCAGCGGCGTTGCAGCCGGATTGGGTGCGAGTCATTGAAACGCCAGGTTATTTTTGACAGGCGTTTACTAGTCTGCATTTACTAATTTTTATGCAGTGCCAAAGAGCAGTGCGACAGTTATTTGGACCATCTGGAAGAGTAAAGCGTGCGTTTGGTAACGTCTCAGGATGCACGATTTTGGAAAGATTAGTATTAGAGAAACAGAGCAAGCCTTATGTTTGAAGGCTTTTATTTCCAAGACGCCCGTTCAGAAAAGGGCGAAATACCTTCAGACGGCAGCCTGGGTTTGGGGGGAAGCAGCGAGGGGCCACGTGGCACCCTGCAGGCACGGCCGAGGGCTGCGCGAGGAAGTCGTGGTTGCGGCGTGCCGCAGGTCGGGCTTTGGGGAGAGGGCGCGACGTGGTCCTTGTTGCTTCGTCAAGGGCGCAGCGAGTCCCCTCGCCAAGCTGAGTCCTTCTGCGCCACCCTGCCACTCCGGCAGCATCCTTCTGGCAGGCCC